AAAAAAAAAAAAAAAAAAAAAAGAGGGGGAGAAGGAATGGATGAAGGGGGGGGGGGAAATCCTTTTTCCTGACTAATACTAATAATACAGGTCAAAATGTCAGTCTATCTACAATTAAATGGAAAACAAAAAAAGGTTTTCTCTTTTTCCCATGGTACAATGGCACTGGAATATAAATTACCGATGAAGATGAAATAATACTTCAAAGCACATGGGGAAAGGCAGCACAACGTTTACAAAGTATTTTCAACTGCAGGATGAAACACTGCAGACAACGGTAACCAATGGACTTCAGGGGGTGTCGGTGAATAGTCTAAAACTAGCATGCGGTAGGATTTTAGGTCCCTATAGTCTATGACCCCATGATATGCTTTGTTTAACAGGGGCAGCTGCAGTTATCAACAGATGTTTCAGCAATAAATAATTGGTATCATCTCAGAAAAGATCCATCTACCTGGGGAGAGGGCATAATGCTGCAAACACTGCTCCACTATTACAGCCACATTAATCTCCCATCTAGCCAGGTCTCTCAGGGAGTTTACTGCAGGTGTTTATCCTGGGAGAGAGCAGACAAACACTCCCAAGTTGGAGCGCCGCGCAGGGATTGTAAAGGAGGTCAACCTCTGCCATAAATTTCTGTCTAAGGCCACACACACCAAAGAGAAAAAGAAAATAAATACCCAAGAAGCAGCCGCTCCCCACTCCCCCGGCCCTGCCCTCCCCAAGCAAATTGAGGATCCCTGCAACGCGGGACGCTGGCGAGGGGATGCTGGGGCTGACACCTCCCAGCCCTGCAGTTGGCTTTTCTGAGCTTCTGGTTGCTATTCAAAGCAATTCTCACCCCCGAACAAAACTTCTTGGCCTCACTTGGGCAGGGCTCTCTCCGTAGCAGGTGAAATCTCGGGGCCACCTTGGAGCTAACAGCAATTTCGCAGCCAGAATTTCAGCAGGGCCAGACCTCCCTGCCCCAAAACCCTGGATTCGCAGGCTGGACTGCCCCTTCCCACAAGGAATAGGACTCTCTTGGCTTTGGAGATGCACCACCATACACAAAAAACCCCTCAAATCCTCACAAACCTCACCTTTGCTTTTTGTTTGTCCTTCCAAAGGGATACCCATTAGCCTAGATATTACATTTACCATTGAAAAGGCAGTCCTCTATTTGCAACAAGTCACATCTGCCATGCCCCTGATAAAATCAGGGAAGCAAGAAGCAATCCACATTTCTCACCATTTTCTAATCTTTAAGCTTAAACTCATCACCTCACAGGATGGGATTCCTAATACCGTTCGGATCCTGCAACTCCTTACACAGCTGAGTATCTTTTACTCACAGGAGAAGTCACATTAAATTCTTGCCTTCCCTGCCTAGGTTTTCGCCAACTTTGATCCTCAAAGAGATCCCATCAAATAATTCTCTTGAAAAAAGAAAAGCAGATTATGAATTGTGCAAGCCCTACTACAGTGAGTAATCCTCACTGCCTCCTAGCAGTGCTGAATTAAACAAGGCACAGCATTCTTTTCAAATTCATGATTTTTAAAAAAAACTTTTTGCAAACATTTGGCATTTTAGATTTGTTATAATGCCAATTCTTCAGGGAGGACCAGAACTGCCCTGTGAAACCAGAGGAATGGACAAAGCAAGTGCCCAAATTAGGGTGGGCTGAGCATGAAAGTGAGCAGAAACAGCCAACAGACCAGAAGCCTAACGCAGAGGTAGAGCTCCCACTGATCTCACACCCTTGGCCTGGTTGCAGTGGCAGCAGAGGGCAGGACTTTCCTTCCCTTGGAGAGATGCAGTGGTGATATGGAGATGAGGTGCCTCACAAAGAGGAAACTGTGATTTACGCATGTTGCTTCACAACAATTTTCATTAAAAATATTGGAAACTATATGTAGCTTCTGGATCCCTCACTCATCTGATGACAAGATAAAAATCACATCTCTGGTTTGGTCCTTTGGCCTTTGTGAGCAGCCTCAGACCAACACAGACTTGCTGACTTCTGCCTGCCAAGCAGCTCCTCACCTGCTGCCACCACCATGCAAGAAAACAAGCCCCTGAACCTACAGGGGATACTACCTACCAGGGCTCTGTGTACCCTCAAGCACCTCAGAGGGACATTTTACACAACAGGTGTGTTGAACTTCATACCAGCAAATCGGGGAGCCTCACGCTGATCATATCTTGCAGGTTTGTTTTGTCTTCTGGGCCGAGGTCTTGTTTGTATTGCCACTTCTCCGGCACAAAGGGCCACTTCATTTCCTTTGCCTCCTCCAGCAAAGTCCTCAAGTCCTCAGGAAGCAAAGCTGAAAAGGTCAAAGAGCAGGTAAAGATATTGCAGTGGGTTCAGCCGCAACACTTACAACAGACCCTGCAAAAAGCATACCTCCCCTCCCTCTCAGACCTTCTCCCAGTTGCTAAAACCTCTTAGCTCTTGCCACCAGCCTCACCAGGAGGGAAGGTGAGCTCGCCTGTCATCTGTTACCCTTGGCTGCTCTGCCCTCCAGGTAAATGGGAGCCATCAGCCATTAAAAAAGCTTTTAGCAGGAAGTCACACCGACTGGGGCTGGCTGGGCATGAAGAGCTACTCCAAAGATGAGAGGAAACCTGTTACCCCATGTGAGAAGAGGGCTCCTGGCAGAGCAAATGGGGCCAACAGTACAGAAGACCTTCCTCTTTGCTGAGGGCTTGCGGGTGAGTGACAGAGCCAGTGTGAAAATAAATGTTCAAACTGAGAGATAAACCTGGACCATATGAAGCAGTTAGACAAAGATCTAAAGGGATATAACTAATAACAAGCATATGCTCTTGAGAATACCTATGTGACTGATAATTCAGTAAAAAAAAACCCACCGCCAAACCAAGAGCTGTTGGCCTAAGTTACTCAACCTGCTCTCCCAGCAGTAGCTGTAGACTACAGGACACACTTCCCCTCAGCACAAGAGAGCTCACTGCTATCACAAGACAACACGGGTTAAGCCACACGCCTGGGAACCACTATTAATGTGGCAGTGCCATGGATGCGTGGCAGATGCCAGCTGAAGCCTTGCTGTGAGGGTCCCTGATCGAAGCTGATGCATCTTCTTTGAAGCCAGCTTAGCCAAGAAACTCACACGAGCTGAGGAGCTTGCCCAAACTTCTGTGTTTCAGTTTGCAGCCAAAGTTAAAAAGAGACTGAAGTTAAGAGGAGATGCTAACCAAAGTTAAGAGGAGAAGGTGCCCTTAGCCCTGGCATGCTCCTACCCAGGCATGGCCAGCACGGAAGCCTCAATCCTCACACCTTTCACCCAAGGGTTTCCAAACCCTACCCAAAGCCCAGCTTTCCCTCCCAGCTGGAAAAGCTAAGCACAAAGGAGACAAAGACAGATTTTTATCTTTTTCTTTGGGATGAGGGCAAAGTACCGCCACCTCCCACGCCTGGCCCCTGACCCTCCAGCGACGTGCCAGAGCTTGCAAGGCAAGAGGACAGTTTGGTCCATGCCCATGCACTGCTCCCTCTCCCTAGGCTTACCCTTCGCCTCCCATATAACCATCAACTGTGGGTGGATCTCCAACCTGCCCTGAATAAGGATGGAACTGCTTGTAGGAGCACACAGCTAGATATCTGGGCTTGGATTTGTCTCTTCCTTTCAGCTGCAGCCCACATTTTAATTTTCCTTGAAGCAGGGGTGAAGCTGCAGCCCAAGTGTGCTGTGCTAACCACTTGGCTGGGCAGACTCTCTGGCCAATAAAAGTGGATTAACAAGGATTATTGACCAGATGGGGTTAATGGTGATCATCAGCTGCAGATCTAGCCCCTTCTGGCCATTAATCCCCAGAAAAAACCCTGCTCAGAGACCACTGTTGTTTTAACAAGGCAATGCAATAAATGTATTACTACATATTTTATAATCAATCCTTTTCAGATGACTGTAGAAAATGGACTACGTAAAAAAGGTCTATTTCATGCTCATATTACAGTGCATTCACTAGTATGTTTTTCCTAGGAAAGAATGGGAAGTTGGATATTCAGGGGCCTTTTTCCAAAAAGTCACCTTTAAAGAGATATCACTTTTTCCAACCCCCGCTTTCTCACTTGTTGCCGCAGCTCTGGACACACTTGTCGTTACACATCCCAGCTTCAGGCACAGCCACGTCTCCCTGCCCTTCTCAAATGGCTTCTGGAGAGGCTCAGCCCTCCACGCCATTGCAAGGTGGACAAGCGACAGAGCTGGAGGGGAGAGGGGGTCATGCTCCCACCCTCACCCCTCTCACTGCAAGATCAGGTATCCCTGCTGCGGCACTATCTCATCTACCTGGATTTTATTCCCCCATGTAGAACAGGGAAGACCAAGCTTCCTGAAATCTTTTCCAAAGGAAGACTAGCGGGGACCTGAAGGCAGTCACAGCAAGCACATGTCTCCTCACATGATCCCACACGACTGACATTTTGGGGAGGGATCTAGAGAAAGAGAAAGAGGATGCTTACACTGGCAGCCCTTCTGTCTCCTTCTCTACCTTCTTCCTCTGTCTTTCCCACATGAACTCACGCTTACTTAAATAACAGTAAAACAGGAAAAAATAATAAGTGTCAGCAGCTATGAAAATCATCAATGGGATAACACAGATGTTGGTACTCTCTCTAAAGCATAAAGGTAGTTCCTGGTTCCCATGTTATCCTTCATGAAACCATAATCCTCCTCCTACTTGATGCACTAAAGAACAAAGAAGATAGTCAAATTCTTCATCACTGAACTTTAATTTTTAAAGAAGGAGCCTCAGCAGTCACCACTGCCAAGGTAGTTAGAAAAGGAAACCAGGGCAACATTTTTGGAAGGATTTGCCAATCTAGGAACCTTCAGTCGTCTTTGGGGTTGGACATTCGTGTAAGCCTAGCAGGATGCCGTTTTCAGCCTTGCTGTGATGTCTAGTTATTGCCACATGGAAATAAACACAATTAAGCGTGTTAATGACAGCAGAATGATGTTGTATCACACAAACATCCTCTAGAATCACACCAACCAGTTGGGGAGCTCTTGTGAACAGTTCTGAGCTTTCAGCTAAAATCCAGCTCCCAAGACAAGAGCTTACTCTTGTAACAGGTAGCTGTTCTCACTGCAGGCAATACAAATTCAGTAATTAACCAAGGTTGAACAGGCACAGAAGTTGACTGGACCGATTTCTAGCCTAAGAAGAAATAAAAAAGCAATCCAGACCTATCTAACACAGATGCTGCCCCCTCAACTAAAGCAAGATAAGGCTGCACTCCTCCTCTCCTCCCCATTTATATGTATTTGGCTTTCAGTTCTTCCTGTGCCCGGTCTGAGAAAGCCGGGGGGTGAACAAAGAAGGAGAGGGGGGAGAAGAAACCCCCTCGGCCTCTGCGCTGGGAGGGTCCCCCCGAAGCCGAGCGCCGCAGACCTGCGAGGCCCTGCCTTCCCCAGGCAGAGAGCCCCAGCAGTTATTAATGTCGCTGTCACCACCCCGCTGCTGGGTATTTTCCTTTCAGCTGATGGGAACACGGTCCTCGGAAAAGCCAGAGCACCACTCCGGGCTCTGATCGCCTATTTCCTGAAGCGGTTTACCTGAAGGAGCATGTCTAATCGCGTGATTATAAGGGCACTGATTTACCTTATCTGGAACTAAACTGATTATTTCTCATACTTTGTGGTATTTAATAGGAGAAAAAGAGGGAGGAGGATGAGGGGAAAAAAAGCGCTACCTGATTAGGAGTTCAAGAGCCTATTCTAAGGAGCCATAATAAAACTTAAAAGAATTTGTGATGAGGAAACAAAGTCCCCTTTGTTGAAAACAAAAAGAGAAGAGAAAAATCTTCCAGTATCCATAACAGAAGCCTATACACCACCCTCCACCACAAACAGACTTAGGTGCTTCAGAAAAAGGCAGCTGACCTCCCAGCAAGAACAAGGATGGTCAGAAAAACATATTCTCAACGGCTCTGTGCTCCGAGACAAACAAAGGATTTTAAAGATCAAATTAACATTATGGCCGAGTCATTCATGCAAAGCAAAACTAAACATTAGTAAAACTAAGTGGGAAAACGGACAGTACTGCAGACGTGTCATGCAAAGGAAAACCTGCACATAAATAGATTTTTTTTGTGTGTATGCTTTTTTCACTAATGCCTTTGTTTTCCCCCCACAAGAAATTTCACCTTCATCCTTTACTATATGCTTCTGTACTTGCTGAAGTTATTTTTCTGTGTAGTGGGAAGGAGTACATCATCTCCCTACCTCATTCCAAAAAGGTGTAATTCAAACAAGTACAGCAATTCAAATGTGGATTTTAATTCACAAATAAAAACGCTGTGGCAATGAAGTTATGTAGCCCTCAGAAAGTCTGAACCTAGAGAAAACTGAACCAAGTCCATTACATCCTTTCATGATTGACATGAATTGCATTTCCACTTGAATTAAGAAATAATAATTTTTTTTTTCAAAGCACCACAGCATCACCAAAATAAATGCTGTGTTCCAGCAGGTAATGCCAGCATTAAAACAAATGAAGAACCCTTTTATTACAGCTCTTGCTAAATACTGCTTCCTTTCCCGGTTATTTATTCTAGCCATTAGCCAGCACGGATTTTCCTTTCAAGAGGGATATTGCAAGTTTTTTTTTTTCTTTGGACACCACTTATAGAGGTCACACACATTTTACAAGATAAAGATTCAGGCAATGAGCTCTTTAATATATTAGGAGAAGCTGACAAACAGAAAAGGCCCTCCCCCAGTTCCTATGAAAAGAGAGGAAATATGTGCCCTTATTCAGAAGTTGCATCCTTTTTTTTTTTTTTCTTTCTTTCTTCTTTTTTTTTTAATAACTGAAATTTATGTGCATCAGCAAACTTTTGGGCATTGTTCTCCCCAAACTAAACTGTTCCTTACAGCCTCATGTTTACTGAAGCCTAAAATTAGAACTGACAGCAATTCACTGCAACAAAGTGGACTTCTTTCCCTGCCTGCCTGTAGCCCGCATCCCATTCATGGCCTCGAAATCCAGGCATCTCTTGACACTCATCTGCCAGGAGAAGAAAAATAGGGCAGGGCTGAGGACCGGGGGCTGCTGCCATGGTCCTGCTGCCTCTCCTGGGGGACCTCACCTTGGCACCGCCGGTATTCTCGCTCCTCTTCCTCGCCTGCGTCAGCCTTTGCCGACAGGAGCGTGTCCAGAGCTCGTTTGCACTCCTGCAGCAGCGTGGCCACGGCATTTTGATTATTCATGAAGGCTGATCCCACTTGGCTGTGAATTGGGTGTCCCCGGGTGCACGGTGATCAATTACTTAAGAGAAGACACGGATTCTAAATGAAAAGGATCCCTTCAAGGCTGAGGTACCTGGTGAACAAAGGAGGGGGAAAATGATTAACTAAAGTATCATCAATTATCCGAAAGGCTCAAGCAGGGAGAAATAATAGGGGAAATACATGAAAATACATGACAGCCTCAGAGGACTTTATTAGAGGAGTGTGTGAAATTACTGCAGGGTCTCTGTGACAAACTGTGCGAGGCGAACATCTCCGAGGTGCCAGGGAGAAAGGAGGGGCTCTTCAACGGAGCCGTGACACCCCAAGCAGGGAAGTGACTAGCCAGGCTGTGCCAAAGCCCTTTGCACCTGGGAGGCTGAGGCAGTCACACACTGTTAGCTGGGATTGAAAGGCAGAGCCAGGCACGCTCTCAACTCCCAGGGGATGCTGCGTGTGTTTTGCAGACCACAGGGGCTGTCTCTTTTACTCCGGGGGACAGGAGCAGGTTGTGCTCTCACCTCCTCTCATGCCAGCCCCGCTCCTGCCACGTAACACGGCATCCTACCACAGTTTGGTTGGGATAGTGGAGCAAAAACAGCCTTTGAATGAGCCCACGGGAATGAAAAGTCTTTCTGCTGATGCTGCAGCAGGAGCTCACCTAGCACAAAGCCACAGGAGCTGATCACAGCTTCACCAGCCCTGTGACAGAAAGGACAGCAGCTTTTGCCCATCAATTTTTTTGCCCACTATATCAAACACCCACAAGGCTTGTTTTTATCACAGCCGGGTCTCCCACAATTTGACCAGGTACCTAGGACATCTCCAATGGCCATGGAGAAACCCTCCCACAATTTCCATCCCAGGCATCCGGCTCAGTATTTGCCAAAACAGTTGAGCAGCTTTCAAAAATGAAGCAGGAAAGAAATACTTTGGGGTTGTTTTTTTTTTTTCCCCCCATCAACTTGGTGATGGTCTCACTTAGGAAACTACTCCCACAGTTCGAAGCAATGTAGTCAGAAACAGCCTCTGTGAAAACATTTCTAAAATTGGGGAAGCTACGAAGGAGGAAGGGGAGTGCAAAGGAACACACATGCAGGCACAGTTTGCTCTGCTGACTAGAAACTATTCACATTTTAACAGCTAAGTTTCCAGACTTCTTTTTTTTCCCTTTCTGTTGCAGCTCTGGGATGGCTGGATCCCGGAGCTAGTGGCAGATAGCCTGTGTTCTCAACGGCACCAAGTAAGAGCAAGCTGCCAGATTGAAAAGCAGAGGGCAAAAGAGATGCACTCATGCGAAAGCAGAGAGGATCAGAGAGCCTGCCGTGGAAGGGCAGGTGGAGCAGGGCAAACGATGGGATTCATCAGCAAAGAGCCTGGAGGCAGGAGCTAGTCAGTGGGGCTGTAACTGACTCTGCAGACAAATGTCAGAGAAAGAAGAAATTAAAAACGGAGCCGTAAAAGGTGACTGAGGACACAGGCACATAAGAGCAACTGGAGAGGAGGCTGGACAAGCAAAATATCAGCTAGATGCAGAGCCATGGATAAAAACTTAGGCAAGACTAACACTGTTAAACGTTCACTGTTTCCTAGCGTCTGAGGTTTGGCTTTGTGGTGCTTTGCTTGTGTCAGTTCTTTCCATGCAACCCACACCATGCAGCAACACGGCAGGGTTTCCTTCAGCTCCAGCTGCACCCTGGAGCACGGCAAAAGAAGATCCTGGCACAGTATTCAACCAGCTGCAAAAGCAGACCATAGTCTCCATGTTCTGGAGGGTACAAACCATCCTCTAGTAAGAATTAAAATCACAGAATAGAATCACAGAATATCTCAAGCTGGAAGGGACCCCTAAGGATCATTGAGTCCAATCTCCTGTGCAGGGAGTCTCAAGAGTACAGCGTCAGACTGAGCTCTCCCCAAGTTGATATTCCTACCTTCCTTTTCTCCCATCGCTTTTGTATGATAAATGCCTTCCTGGGGGAAGATTTAGAGGTGTTTTCAGAAAACAGATGCATGTGCATGTATCAACACCGTCAAGAATACAACTCCTAAGCACGGCAAAGTTAAAAAAACAAAGCCACAAATACAGAATTTATAGCTGAAGGCCTCTTCTCTCCTCATCCTGGTACAGGGCATTAAGGAACAAAGCAGAAGGAAAACCCGTAAAGAGCTCTCTATCTTTTTAAGCTCTCAGTAAGAGCAAGGCCACCCCATGCAGGGCACCATCCCACGGGGTCTGAGCCAGGTGAGCATAGCTGGGTGCTGGTATGGGGTGCTGGGATCCGTACGGCAAAGGGATGGACCAGGCACAGATCCCATTTAGGGGCTCCTGTCAGGAGCAAAAGGAGACAAAGCCAGAGACAGGGCTGGAGACACAGCTACAGTGTGGTGCAAAGTCCACCCAGGAGAAGGGCTGAAATATCTGTCACTGACAAAGATAATTCGAAAAAAAAGGTCACCACACTGATGGGATTTGCTCACAGCCCAAGGTTGGAGTCCACACCCAAGTTCACAAAGGTCCCCTCTCCCTAAGCACCTCCACGTGAGCAAGGAGAGACACCTGAATGTGGTGACAACACCCAGAAAGCAGACTCTCAGGGAAAGTAGAGTCCTCTCCTCTTACCTTGCCAGGTCTAGAAAAGCTGATCCAGGCAGTTAGAACTAGATAACAGTTCTAGATAAACTAGATAAAGAAAAGCAGCCCCCTCTGCTGTAATCACAGCGACACACCTATGCTAGTGCTGCTTGCTCTGTTAACCGCACTGACATCTGCTAATTGATTTATCTGATTACCCAGCCCTGTGGGAAGGAGTGTGCGGCCGCCCCATGAGTACCTCCCAGGTTGGGATGAAGCATCCCTGCCATCTGGCCCTGACTCCATTCCTTTGTGTAATTGATTTCTCAAAAAAAAAAAAAAAAAAAAAAAAAAATCTCATTTTCTAGGGAGTCCTCTCCAGTAACTGCCGAGCACGTATACACCTATCTCAGATCCACTATGAACACCAGCCTGACCAAGAAGGGGAGACTGCTTCAAGAGCTTGCAGAAACACACTGGAGAAACCCTGACATCTCACAGCTGTGGTAAATACATGTTCATAAACACAATTTTCTATGAAGATGTACTAAAGCAAACAAGTGCTGGGATACTTGCCTTTACAAAAAAATAAGACGGCATTAAGAGCATCCAAGGGAGCTCACAGACATGCTCCAACTTATCTATCTATGACCTATCTATAAAACACAAAATTAGTGTTTTAAAGCCAGCTCGTGGAAAGGCTGGAGGGCTGCAGTCTGGAAGATCACATCAGGTTCTTTACTGTAAGCAGGAGGGCCCCGTGGCTTTGTGAGCCACACAGACTGCCAGTCTCACAAAGAACTGACGGGGCTTAGCGGGGAAGCTTAAATTAGTGTAGAAGTACAGCACTTGGCTTCCTAGGATTGTAAAGATTTAACTCACCGGGAAACTGCCAGATCTGTAACAGTGATATATGAACATCAGCAAGCGAGAAATTTTTCTTCAAGTAAGTTTTCCAAAGACCTAAATAAACAGCAAGGACATTTAGAGTAATAAGTAATGATTTACAATAGCAACAACAACAAAGTGCTGGAACCATATAGAAAAGTGCAATAAACTGTACATTAGTACTCAGAACCAAGATAGCCTTTTGAAACCCATCACTAGGGGCAATGACTCGCATCATAAAATCAGCTTAAAACGCACCAAAGAGCTTTAAACTATAGCAGCATCCTTTACACAGATGCCACTTTGTAAGTTGCGGTTTGTGACAGCTGTAGCGTTGAATGACAGCTGGGACACGAAAATAACCAAGCAGCAGCTTACGGACCTGGGGCAAATGCAGGAGCTGAGACCAAAACCGAACAGCAGAACCAGCAAAAGCTTCTAGAGGCCTTTAGAACCCTCTCAATGCTTACTAATTAGCTTTCTTAAAGTACTGTTAAATCCTAACAAAGAGTACTTTAAGCAGAGATAAAAAAATGCAGCTTGATATGCTGCTAAACTGTATAGACAAAAATGCTTTCTAAGGGCACACTCACACATAATAAAAAAAATTTTGCATCAGGTTGAGGATCTAAAGATTTTTTGGTGATGGGTCTTTTGCTCCATCTTTGGGTACAGAGTCTTTTTAAATGGTTGATGTAATTGTTAGACACTTTAAAACAGAAGTGATGAAAAGAAATCTGCCGTTTCTGGTTGGAGCCTGGATTAAAATAACTTCTTACAGCAAATATGATGGGAAAAAAAATTTACAAAGGTCTCAGGGGATGAGAAAGTATATTTCTGTGGTTTCTAATCAGAGCTGGGATTCAGAACAACAGGGAGGGAGGGAGGAATTGGATGGGCTACAGTGAAATGATCTCTTTAACAAGAAATGGGCCATACAGTGACATTTCATAGCCCTTGGGCTAGAAGACCAAAAGATCTGTCAAGAGAAAGGAATTTTAAGTTCTACTGTGGATAGAAGGAAGCCTGGGAGTCAATCTAGCCAGTTTAAGACCGCAATTAGCTTTGGAGGCTTTAAGAACAAGAAGATGTAATTGCCGCATTCAAACTTCAAATACAGCAAGCATAACAAGCCTCGGTTTCTCAGACAACATCATTTGGGAAATTTTCCACAGCATTATGGTCCTGAAACACAAATTAGAGATCACCAGACCTTTTCTCTCTGAAAATATATTATCCTAATTTTCATGTTATTCAGGCTACCCTCCAGTTCCACAGAGCCTAATGAAGAGGAAGCAAAGACCTGATGAGTTCCATGTGGAGACTACATTTATGGATTAATCCCAACAGGGAGCAAATAAACCTTATTCCCAGAGCTCTCTGTTGGGACTCGACACAATCAATCGAGGAATGGATAGTTATTTATGACTGAGGCTGTTTTGACTTTCAAATAAACATTTTAATTATTTTAAGTGCTACACTGGAACTTAGAATCTGAGCCCTGTTTTCATTTTGATGCCTTGTTCTCCTCCCTCCTAATCCCAAACCACTCTGGTCATTACGATACTGTGCAAGTGATACTGATTTTCATGCCTGTAACATTTAAAAGTGTTTGCCAAGGTAAAATCCAC